TTTATACACTTAAATTGTGAAGTTAGATATTAATGAATAAGGAATGTTTTGTTATCATAAAAAACATATGAAGTCAACAATAATATTGGAGATAAAGGTTTATGTCTCACTCCCAAATATACTTTTATTCCCATTTTAATAAAATTTTAACAAAGTAGCTGGTCTTGAGAGATTTTCCAACTTAAAAAATGTACAATTGATTTGAATGAGAAAGTTTATCAAGAAAATGGTGTTTATTCCAAAAAATGTTGCTCCCTCAAAGCAAGTTGATAACCCTTGAGTTTTTATTAATGGTTATTATGAAGAGGTAAATTCATTTATTCAGGAGGAAGAAAATGACGTGGACGGAGAAGTTGAAGACAAGATGAAAACGGAGACCAAAAATAAATAATTATGATGAAGTTCGACATGAAGAAATGAGTTTGCTTATTCTTTTTTTTCCTTTGAATGGTAGTATATATTAATTGAAGGGATCACACAAAAAATGTGTGGATCCACAAAGTACACGACATGCAGGAGGATGGCTCACACTTGACTGCTTAAGAAACAACATACCAGCAACAGCCAGGGAATAGAGAATCGAAAAAAAGCAAAAATCAACCACATCCTTGTCAAAAAAATCACACTAAGCAATACATCCAAGATGGTAGCAAAAAAGTGCAAAGCAAAGTAAAACCATGAGTAAAAGGATTCACAGAAGACTAAACCTGAAGCATCGAAACCCAAAAGCATAGCAAAATTCGAAGTAAAAAAAGACATAACCTCAATGATTCATGGGAAGTAGAAACGAAGCAAAAAGCACACTTAGTTGAAAATTTGAACAAGATCAACAGAACAATCTACTCTTTCCTTGGCTAAACGATCAACAAGTTGATTAACTGATATCAAAATGTGCACCACAGACCATTTCAGAATTCTGCTGTTCAAACTATTAGTAAGATTTAACATACTTCTCATCTACCAAAAGGCAAAGGAAGAATCATTGCACCATATAATAGCATTAGTAGACTCTGATTTCACAATAATTTCATGAGTACCTATCCAAGAAGAAGCAACAATAAGGAAAAAAAAAAGCTTGTTTAATAGTTTTGATCTCAACCAAGTTTGAGTCGGTAAGTGCTAACAGTTTAGAGAAAAGAATTTTGACACAACTATTGTTATCTCTCAAAACCCCACCAATCCTGATTGCCATCGAGCATCCCTTAGCTACCTTGTCCATGTTAAACTTCATGCATTCGTTATTTGGATTAACCCAGTCAACTTTTGGTTTTTCTTTTTTCAAAACCACTCTAGCTCTTGCATAAAAAGGCTCCCTCACCACATCTAAAATACTTGGATTTTCCGTAAGTCATTTGGCATTAGCCCACCAACCAATTCTAAGCTTGACCATGTCAAAAATTTGGTGTATATCCCAAAGCTTCCTTTTATAGACCAAGTCATTCCTATGAAGCCAGATGGTCCATAGAATCACAAAGAAAGTAATGCGCCAAACGAAACAACCCCCTTACCCCGCCCCCCTTCTCATTCGAAATATTAGCATTCTAAACAAGGAACAAAGTTTTCATATTACTTAAGAGGACCCAATTATATCCCCATGCATCATTACATAAGTTCCAAACTGTCCAAGAATCATAGCATCTAAGAAAAAGATGATCGACCGTCTCGATATCCTTGTTACAAACAGAACATAAGGTAACATTCCCATTAATAAAACCCCTTCTAAGGAGCTTTCCTCTAACCTTCATTCTCCCTTGGAGAACTTGCCAATAAAACACTTGGGAGGGGCCTGGTCGGATCATACCATTTTCCACAAATGACTATCATTACCCACATTACTAACAACAAGCCTACAAAAATCTCTTACAAAATATTGTCCATTTGAGCTCCTCTTCCAAATAATCTTATCTAATATCTCTTTATCAGGATAGAAATTACTGATAGTCACCATTAATTGCTTCTTTTTCAAGGGAATATTCCAACACCAAATTTCATCAATCCAAGATCCGAAATCAATTAAAGATCCATTTTTGTTAGAAGAAAGAACAAAAATACGAGGGAAGGAAACACTAAGAAGCATATCATCAACCCATGCATCATGCCCAAACTTAATACAATTACCACTATCCGGCAACATACCAATTCTTATTTTGACCAACTCAGGAATGTGCCCATTGGCAAAGGAAAAACCCACAATGTTTCTCCATATTGAGGACATTCGTTTAGTATTAATACAAGAAGGCAGCAGACTGTTAGCATCCATCTCGTTTTTCTCAACAATGATACGTCTCCATAAAGAGTCAACCTTATCAACAAATGGTTAGATCCATTTATTGAGAAGAGATTTGTTTTTGATATGAAGATCAACAAGCCCTAACCCCTTATTCTTCTTATAATTACAAACTATGGCCCTATCTACATAATGAATTCTACCGCTAAAGTTATCTCTACACCATAAGAACTTTCTTTGAATTCTATCAAATTCTTCTTCTACCACCAATCCAGAAAAGATTACCTTTTCATCTAGAAAGTTGTATCTCAAATTTCTCCACAATAAGTTTCCAAATGGCTAGAAAATTGAGTTTGCTTATTCTGGTAATTATTGATGTGATTAGGAATATGATTAATAAGTTTTGTATTTTTTGTTTTATGTATGTTTAGCTTAGTTATTTCTTAAGAATCTTGACATGTTATACAAACGTAATATTTTATTTTATTTTATTTTATGCTTATGTTTGTATCCATCTCATTGTACACATGCTTGTTATTATTCATGCTTGGTATTATCAAACAATTCTTTATTTTTTTTTCAAAATTTGCAAAAATAGATTATTTTTCGTTAATTCTATAATATAGTTACTATAGTTAAAAGAAAGAATTCTAAACCAAAATGTAAATCTACAATTGCGTCAATCCCTAATCATTCGCCGCAACAACATCCTCTTTGGTTGATGCATCTACTGAGCCATGGGTGACCACCAATCATCCGTTCACAAAGGCACCCTCTTTAATCAATTCATCCACTGAGCCAACTATAATTGGGACCTTAATCCCTTTTTTCTAATGGATGTTGAATCATAGATAGAGGTGGCACTAGACATGGCACATCTATGGATAGGGATGTCAATGTGTAAGGTACTTGATACATTTTTTAAATACCTTACTTTGAATTTAATTAACTAATAAAATATCAAAATCTTATAACTACTTAGATAAAATTTGAAAACGTTACTTTTACCCATACCCTAATACTCAAAACCTGCATCTAACAAAATCTAAACTACAAGAAACAAGTAAATACCTATTCTTTATAATTAATTATTATTTATGTCAACTTTGATATAAAACATTTTAATATATAAGTTGTGTCATTAATTTCATATATATAATAAAGTAATATATTATGTAAATACACAGATTTAATTTATACATGAGTATTATTATAACTTATAATAAACTTTATTTATATTATTACACTTAATAACTTTATTAGTTACCACTTTAGTTTTTATAACATATTGCCTATAATTTTTTTTGAATAGTACATATTGTTATAATTAGTTATTATTTATACAAACTTTGATGTAAAACAATATAACACTATAGTTTTATTTTGTGGGTGATAATTTTATTATCTTTGACTTTTTATTATATTGAATTTTGAATGTTAATTTGATGGTTTATGTAAAAAGACATAATTATATGAGTGGAGGAATATATATATGTTTTTTTATGTTTAGATTATTTGTATGTTTTATAATTATTGATGAAGTTTATAAGATTTAATATTGTAATTTGTGAAAAAAAAAAGATAAAATTTTGATTTATTAATCCAAAACTAAATCGATCAAACTAATTTTATATTTAGTAGGTTTGTTTTTTTATATTTATTCGATTTTGATCAATTTTTTAAAGATATTCGATTCATTTGGTTCATAGTTATAACGGATCAAGCTACTACCCATTTGCTTACCCCTAATGACACCTCATGATGAATTTAAATTAGGATATTTATGATGATTATGACTATGGTTATCATTTAATTACATCTATTATGTTTTCGTGAAATAGATTTGCAGCTACTTACGTTTTTATGCTTAGAACGGCTACAGGAAAACTTTAATAAGAGTTATGTTTTGAAAGGACGAGTAGGGGACTGCGAGACTTGAACCTTTTTGCAGGCTTGTGTTTGCATCCTTCTTATAAGGATGTCGTCTTCCAACATTTCATTTGTACCATTTAACCCAAAATAAAGAGAAAAACTCCCCTCAAAGAATGGAGGTTGAGAATTTGGGATAAAGAGAAATTAAGGAAGAGTGAGAGAGATCAAAATAAAAAGAAAAACCCAAGTAGAGGGCTGTGAGAAAAGAAGGAAAGATATCACAAATGTTAAGAGTGAAAAAAAAAAAAAGGCGAGAAGAAGATTACATGGAAAAAATTTGTGCTTGTTTCAAAGGTAAGTGTTTGTTTTTTTTTTTAATTCCATTTCCCATCCATACACACACACACACACACGATGGATTGTGATTGAAGATTAACTCTATCTCAATTGCAACATAGTCTCAATTTCACAATATGTTTTGCACGCACCGTAATTAAGTTATGTTAAAATTGAAAAACAAAGATGAAAGTAGTATAAACGTTTTAGTGACTACTAGTATTAAATAATATGGTTGGTAGTAAGGTCAGCATGGAAAATCAAGTGGGAGGTTAATATAGAAAAAGAATACTACTTGAAGTCAATGGTTACATAGGCGTGTGCTTGAAAATAATCTCACCTAATGTGTTAGTTTAATGTGAATGTGATTGTTGGTTTCAAAGGTTTTGTTAATTTGAAAAAGAATCAATTTATAA